AACATAACTGGAGAATTGGTTCATAGAACCAAGTTCAGTTTGACAGGCAGGGTTAAAAGGAGAGGGACTTTTGGGTTTCGGATGGAGGGAAGTTGTTGCTGCTGGTGGGTGTGGTGTTGGAATGATGCATGAAACCATGACCAACAGTATTGTAAGTCACAATACCTCAGTTCAGATTTTTTAAAAAGAGAACATTGTTCTTGTAGCAATGAAGAATATGTATTTTATTTGGAGTAGGAAGTGCTTGTGTTTTTTAGGGGATTTGTTTGTGGCTACACCCAGTGATGCTTGGGTTCTGCTTCTGGCTGTATGCTCCATGGTTGCTCCTAGTACTGTTGGTGGGGGGGCGTGGACTATGACCTTGTAATGCCAGGGATCAAACCTGAGTTGGCTGCAGACAAGGCACTGTTATCTTTCTGATCTTTTTTTTTTTTAATGTTTTGTCTTTCGGCCACACCTTAGCAATGCTCAGAGGCTACTCTTGGCTCTGTACTCAGGTATCCCTCCTGGAGATGCTCGAGAGACCATATGGGGTGCCAGGGATCAAATTCGGGTCAGTTGTGTGGTTGTTGCAAGCTCCCTACTCACTGTACTATCTCTCCAGCCTTCTGATCTGTTTTTTGTTTTAACTCAGAAACTCTTTGTGGGAATAGATAATATGCTTCATGTTGTCGGTTAGTGTTTCTTGAGAGGTAGTATAGCATATTTATAGTTGTCAAGAATAATATCTAGATCATGCTGAAAGGAATCATTGATTTTATTTTACTGATTTTATTTGACTCATTTTCAAGAGAACTTTGCACAACTGAACTTTTGATTTGGAAATACTATATACCGATTTTAACCAGTATTTCTAAAAGTTATGTGATAATTAAAAAAAATCCCCACCCTTTCGCTTTTTGCTCTTTTGGTCACTGGCGTCACATGGACACTTTGGTTGTGATGATGGCATCTTTGGCTGTGATGCTCTGCAGGAGCTGCTCACTTGGTTGAGGGCGTACACGTCGGCAGCTGCCACGCACTCTGGGGTTGCACTCTAGTGGTGTGGTACTCTGACCTGCCTAGGATATGCTGGAGATGAAATGTGTTGTTGGCCATCCTGAGGGCTGGGGTTGGACCCAGGGAGCAGAGCTGCGGGAACTGTGCTCAGAGTACGTGGGGCAGTGCTAAGGTTCGAACGTGAAGTCTCTCTTACAGGGCAGACACTTTGGCCACTGAGTCACCACTACTTTAGTGCATGCCAGGCATCAACTCCAGCCCTTTGAACCATCTTCTCATCCCCCTTTCCCTGTGTTGCTGTGACAACTGGGGATTGCACACAGACCTGGTGGTGATGCTTACACACTTGGCAGTGGTGGTTTCTGGAGGTTGTACACTGGTTTGTGCTTGGACATGTACTCCCTGTGGGGCAGAGCTTTGGTTGTGGTACGTATACACACTGACGCCTGCCTATGATGTGCTGAAGATAGAATGCTTTGTTGGCTATGATGGGGGATAGGATGTACCCAGATTACATGCTTTTGTGTTCCCTGGGGTCCCAGACAGTATAGCAACTGGGATTTGTCTGGGTGCAGGTGGGCAGCTCTAGGGATCAAATCCGAGCAGGTGCTTTTGCCACTGAGCCATCCCAGAGGACCCCTATCCCCGTGATTTAGTTCTTTGGACTTTGGTTGATTCAGTATGGTATATCCTTAACTGTTGACTCATGGGTGACTGGAGAGTTAGTTCAGAAGGCTAGGATTTCTTGCACAACTACTATGTCGGTGTTCCATGTACAAAGATTCCAAGGTTCCATGTACAAAGATTCCTTGGTTCCCTGAACATATTAGTTGCACTACTAGAGTCACCTGCACCCAAGCAGCACCATGTAGTCAGGCCCAAGCTAGAGCCATTTGGTCCATAGTATCAGGCCAAGTATCACAGCAAATAGCTTTCAGGTGACCCTGAGCCTGTGGGGAGGCATCTCCCCCAAAATAACATGGGGCCAGTGATGTGGTTCAGATACATGATTTGCATGTGTGAGGCTGAGTCAGTCCTCTGCACTATATCGGCACCAAGCATTCTCAGGTATGGCACCGGTAATAATTTAAAAAAAAAAAAAGAATTCAGGAGAGATTGTTCTAAAAAAGGGTATATTGGGTATATTTAGGCAATCAATTCCCTCCTCTTCCCCACCCCCCCCCCCAATATTCAGCCTTACTCTTCAGTTACAGTAGTCATAGTATCTTTACATTTTATTATTTTTTAAAATTTATTTTAGGCATCCTGGTTTATAATATTTTAACATTTTATTTTTTAATACCTTAAATGCTATGGCTTACAAAAGTTGTTCAAAATATAGTTGTTATGGGCTTTTGATATTTAAGCTGCAATCCTCTCCACCAGAGCTACCTTCCCTCCACCATTGTCCCCATTTTCCTAACCATTCCTAGCGAAGCCTGCCCTCTCGCAGGGACACAGTAATTTGTTTCATATTGCTTGTTGCAGCTAAATGATTAATGGAATTAGCAAAAATACTTCAGAAAGAAAACGTGTGAAAGAAACTGTGTGAAAATTGTCTCATTATGGGGTTAAATCTTTGTCTGATGATGTCCTAAGTTGTTTGTTGCTAGATGAGTCTTCTGTGTTATTGTTTTTGTTGAGTTTAGTTGGTTTCTACGTTTTTTTTTTTTTACCCATCTAATTTGGTCCACTCCTGCTGGAATTTTAGTATTGTGAAATTTGGATTTGTCAAACAGTCCTCAAACAGTCCAGAAACATCAGGATCTGTAGAGCTGTGTCAGTGAGTCAACACAGTGGCTGTAGGGTGTGGGTGTGATTGCTAGGGCTTCGAAAAGTACTGAGACTGGGGGAGCAGAGGGATGCTGACCGTCTCCACTCCTCGAAGACACCAGAGTTATCAGCTTGAGCATCAGAGTACCTGGAATGTTTGCGGTTTGGCATCTGCAGAGATTATTAGTGAAGCAGGGGAGTTGGACCATTGGTGTGGTGGTAGCAGTGGGGTGTGGCTGCAGCTGCCAAGGATTTGGCGGTCCAGGAACCTGGCCAGCCCTCTTCCCCTCCAGAGGGTGCCCCAGAGTTTTCATCCGGGAGACCTGTGTGTTCATGAATTTTAGCGGCTTGGCTTCCATCTCCCGGGAGATTTGGTCATGAATCTGAAGAGCAGGGCGAGTGGGTGAGTCGGCATGGCAGCGGCTGTAGGAAATAGGCCAGGGCTTCTGGAGTGGGGGAGAGAGATTTTCACAATTTTTATGTGAGCATTTTATGTTGTTGAGGTAAACATAATCTTAGGTACAGAAAATCTAATCTAGTATTTAATATAGTGTTTGGATTTAGAAAGGACAGAATTTCCCCACATTGACACATTCCAGATGTTTCCTTTTCTTTACATTGCTAGATTGTAGTGTTACATCTTTTTGGCTGATAGTGATAGTTTGTTTCAAGGAAAGGCTTGTGATTTTGTTTTGTTTTTTGATTTGGGGGTAGAGGAGCCACTCCCATAAATGCTAGGGTTCAACAGAATTATGCTTGGTTGGGTTGAGACAGGGAGTGCTGGGGAGTGGACCCCAGTTTCTTGCACATGCAAGATATATATGGCCTTCCGTTGAGCTTCCTGCACAGATCTGATAAAAGAATTTATGAGCTTTGGTTGAAGTTGCCACCTTTTTTTTTTTCTTTTGCTTTTTGGGTCATACTCGGCGATGCACAGGGGTTACTCCTGGCTCTGCGCTCAGGAATTACCCCTGGCAGTGCTCAGGGGACCATATGGGATGCTGGGAATTGAGCCCGGGTCGGCCGCGTGCAAGGCAAACGCCCTACACGCTGTGCTATTGCTCCAGCCCCAAAGTTGCCACCTTCTAATAGTGAAGTAAACACGAGGAAGGTCCTTAATTTAATGGGTGCCTTCTTTAAAGATAAGAAATCAAGGAACAGTGAGCCTGGATTTAGTTCAGTTTATTTTACAAAATAGTTGAGCCTTCTTAGAAAATACATTAGCAAACACGGTTGCTTACCTTTCTTTTAAAAAAAAAATTCACTGTAAGCGGTTATCCAGGTGTTCCATAGAGATGTTCTTTAATAGGACTTATCATTTGATGGCAAGTTAATACATTGAGGGGATTTCATAATGCTGCAGCCTTTTTATTATTATTCATTATTTTTCCATTGGGATTTTAGGGGTCTGGAACCCCTTTAATGGGAAGAAATTACTGCTTAGCCAGCAGTTGTATCACCTTCAAGTTGCTTTGAAAACCAGAGTTCTGTGAGTTACCCTTTAGTAAACTAATTATAAATGTGACCCCTTTGATGTCACTTTGTTTGCAGTTAGTTCCTGGTCTCCTTCAAAGCTTGAGTTTGTTGTGGATAGAAGAAAAGATGTGGTGGGCCTGGGAAGACTTCATTAAAAGGAAACAAAGTTCTAAGGAAAGCTGTTACCAGTTTTATTTATTCATAACAAAACTTGAATGCAGTTTCCCAGTTACTGAAAATCTAAGATTATTTCCAAACCTTTTATTTGTCCTTTTTTTCTTTAATCAAGAATTTGAGGATTATTCTTATACCCAAATCCTCTTAGTTCTTTTATTAAAACATATGACTTGATCACTCTCCAGTTGATCTGCCTTTGATGTTGTTTTTTTTTTTTTCTCAAAGAAAAGTTCCACCTTGGACCCTGAATACTGATTTACTATAATGAATAGTTAAATGAGAAATTGGAAATTAGAGCTTGTTTTCTCATTTTAAACTTTCCCCATAGTCCCCCAGCCCAGCATTATTAAAGAGGAGGTTGTTCACTTTCTTAAGTAGTAACAAAAACATCTCACGACCTGAGCAGTACAATTTGAAAATAACTGCTGTAGCACAGAGTGTCCTTCTCTGTCCCCAGTTGAAATTGGGGGAGGGACAAAGCCCAATTGTTACATTAACCATCCCATCTGCCTGCTAGAAGGCCTGTTTCCTACCCTAATGGTTTCTGCCTAACAAATGGTGTTTCTTTTTTACAGCATTTTGATCCTGGACTTGTTGTGGTGATGGTAAACTTAGCAGTGGTAATTTTTTATTTTCAGACTGAATTACTCCTTTTGTCATCAGTGCACCAATATGTTAGGCTTACTTTCTCTGTTGTAGCCTTCATCCTTCTGCTTGGTCTTTTTCATTTTCCTTTCCTTTCCTTATGCAACTTGTCTGATCCTTGTTCATTAAAGGGTAATGTTAAGAAGGGATGTATCTGTTTATGTTAGAACTGCCAAAAAAAAATCAGTTAAAACATTAAATTCTAATACTGTCAAAAAACTTGATCTCCCCACAATGTAATGGGCACTAGCACTTGCTACTGCAATTTATAAATAAAACAAACTTTGACTGCCTTAGAAGGCAAAAGTACTAATGCAGAGTTTATGCACAGGGGTTTACAGAGGTAATGAATTTGTACCAAAACTTAATGATTCTTCCAAAACAAAATCTGACAGACCAAAAATGATACCAAAACAAAATTTTTTTCTTTGATGTTTCTTTTCAATTATTTTATTGGGCCTTTTGTTTTTACCAGTAAATCCCTGACTGAGACGTTATGAAAGTGATATTGCACCTAGGAAGTCATTTTTATAACCTGTCTTTAATTTGGTCCTTTTGCTAAAGATTGCAGTCACTGCTTATTTATTATACCATTGGGCATAAGGTTCTACTGCTTTTTCCATTTTCCTTAACTGGCAGTCTTTGATAGTATGTGTTTGAACAACTGTAATAGAATTTTCCCCCCTTTTTTTCTGGCATAAGATGTTCTATATACTTAAGCATTTTTCCACTGATTACTTCTAATTATTTCCTTATTGTTAAAAACAATAATGGGATATTGATGATAAATAGTTAAACTTTAAATTTTTCACAACTTTTTAAAGACAAAAATTAATCCTATTTATGGAGCAACTGTAAGCAACTGTATACACTGATTTCTGGTTGCTTTGAAGTTTCCTTTTTCTTTAGGAGCTAACTGAAGTCATGATTGTGACTTTTTTTCTTCTTTTTAATTGTTTTTTGAAATACCTCAGATTTAGCCTAACAAAGCCCAACTTCTAGCCCAAAGGTATAATATATATGTGTATATAAAAACAACAACCCCCAAAAAAACAATTGTTTACACCAGCCTGAGTGAAATGATGAGGGAAGTAAACATTGTGTTTTTTCACTAAAGGTGTACAACGGATAAGGTAAGTCCTCTTTCAGTGGGCTTACATCACAATAAACAGCGCAAGTTGTGATGTAAAACAGCTGTGGTAGTAAAGTGCTTGTCTGCCCCATTTTGCTTTGTTTGGCTGGTTATGAGTGGATTAAATATACATTACAAAAATTTTCCAGCATAGATCAATTAGTTTAAAGTCAATTTTCTTCGCAACTAGTCCTTTTCACAGCTTACCAGTTGTCACAGTCAGTATTAAATCCACTCTGGAAAATGGGACCTTAGAGCACCAGTTTAAAAGTAAAACTGTTATTTAAAATTCTTAAGAGCAATTAACTGCCAGTTTTTTTGTGTGTGTGAAATTTTTTATAGCCCCATTTAATTTTCAACCATGAAAACAAGATACTATTAAGTGTATTGCAGTAACAGTTTTCCTGCATCATATTGTATGGAAACTTTTTTTTCTATTGAAACATACCCAATTGAGACATTTATTACCAGTTTCTAAAATGTGTAGAAGGAGGTAAAAGTGAAGTGATTCTAAATAAGTTATTTGGGGTCTTTAAAAAAATTAATTTCTAAAGCTTTTTTTTAACCTCCTGGTGCCAGTGTTTAGAAGTGCTTTGCATTATTTATGAATTTAGTTTTGTCATAATTCCCTGGAATTATCCCCAACTGGAAGATCAACCATGGTGATAAGTTGGGTGTAAACTGGGAGAGGTAGGTTTGGTTGTAAGCTGTGAGAATGGCTTGTGTTTGGTTCACTGTAGCTTTCTGGTCTCTGCACTCCAAGGCAAGATCTCTAACCACCCAAACCCAATGTGTAAAGTGAGCTGTTGGCTTAGCTTTGTGTCTTACCTTGGCAATGTGTTCCTGTTACAGGGAGAACAGATCCCATTCCAATTGTTGTCAAGTATGATGTCATGGGCATGGGCCGCATGGAAATGGAGGTAAATTAATTTCTCTCTTAGATATTTACATTGATCTTCCAAATTCAGATGCTAATAATGCAAAATACATTTCTGTTGCACATGATTTTTATTCATTCATTTATTTATTTATTTATTAGAGAGCCCATGTTCAGAGAATGCAGAACTTTTTTTTTTTTTTTTTTTTTTTGGTTTTTAGGGGACATACAGTGATTCCCAGGGGTTACTTCTTACTCTGCACTCAGCATTTATGAACTACTCCTGGCAGTGCTTGGGGGACCATATGGGATGCTGGGGGTCGAACTCAGGTTGGCTCTTTGCAAGGCAAATGCCCTACCCACTATACCATCATTTCAGCCCTTGTTTTAATATTTTTCTTTGGAAATTAGAAAACAATTAGGGGACCTTGAACCCACCACCCTTGGTGATAGCCAGCCGGGCAAGCAGTTTGGTGCAAGGGCTGTCTGATAGAGTTACTTGGGCTGGTTTAGTCCACCAAGGCTACAGCTAATGATGCTCAGGAACCTCTAGGGCCTGGGAGATGCTTTGGAGACTGTGATGTCAGGGAACAAACTGGGTTGGGTACATGCTTTACCTAACCTCTGGGTCATCTTGGCTTTAACAAAACTCTTTTTTTACATTGCCACTTAATCCTCTCTTTCAGAAAGAAATAATGCCAGACTTGACCCTGTATTCCCTGCATTCATTTTAGTAGGTAGTATTGTTTAGCTCTCAAAGTATTTGTTATGTGGGTCCAGGGAAATATCTCAGTTGGTGTGCACTAAGCCCTGAGTTTTATCCTCAGTTGGCACTGTGGGTTGTAGCACCTAATTGTCAAGCCTGGCGTGCAGGGCTGAGCATCATTGAGATGCTTCCCAAGTTCCTAAGTGCTACTGAGGAGACACTGACATGTAAGTATATATACTGTGGTAGAAGTTCTGCCCTTGGAGATCTGTGCGTAGCCGTCATCTGATACCTGCTTTTCAGGTCTAAAATATTTTATTCATTTACTTCTAATTTGGGGGCATTGAATATAGAATAAAGTTCAGTATTTTGCTTTGAGTATTAAACTAATGTGAACAAGCCTCAACAAATACGCCCGTTAGAATCATGAGCACACAAGCATATTTTGTAAACTGGTACTTTCCCTGTGGGTTGACAGTAGAGCAACAGGTAGCTTAACAGACTATAATGTTTATTTTATTTCCATGCAGTATTTTAGTTGTGGCAGTGAGTGTTTTTGTTTCCCCCCTCCCCCACCCCACCCCCTGCCCCTGCTTTGGGCCATATCTGGCCGAGCTCAGGATTCACTTCTGGTTCTGCACTTCTGGCAATTGCTCAAGGGACCATATGTAGGGCCAGAGATGAAACCCAGGTCAGCTGCATGCAAGGCAAGCACCTACCTATTGTACTATGTCTCTGGCTCATGCAATTACTTTTTAGGTTTTTTTTAATAGATAATTGGGTGTGCTTGGGAATTAAGACTAATTATGTCTATTTTTGTTCAGCTCGATTATGCCGAAGATGCTACCGAACGGCGCCGTGTCCTAGAAGTGGAAAAAGAAGACACAGAAGAGTTGAGACAAAAATACAAGGTACTCAAATCAAGCCACTCTTGCATGTGGAATTCTTACACTGAAGGAGGGGTTCATTTTTGATCAAAAGGACCTCTTGATGAAGGCATTTCTTTGACATTTGGTGGTGATACGTATTTGATTTAATATTTCTGTTAATGTTTCTATTTATTGCCTCTATAAAAGCAGTAGTGTTTATATTTCATAAATTTGTCAGCAAGATTAAATTCATATTGGAAAGTACAATGCCTGGGGCAGAGTAGGTAAGTATAACAATAAAGTTTTCTTTGAGAACTTGAGACCTGTTGGATTCAACTGGGGATGTAACTGGGAATCATTTTCTTCTCTTTTAAGTTTAGGAATTCAGAGCAGAGGATTGCTTAATGGGGTGGAGTGCATATTTTACATGCAGGAGGCCTGGGTTACGTCCCGAGCACTGCATCCTCCTCTTCTCACGTACTTCCAGAAGCAGCCCCTGAGCACTGAGTGTGGCGCAACGAGAGCATGAGGGCTGGAGACAGAACAAGTGGATAGGGCATTGGCCTTGCATTCAGCTGACTTAGGTTTGATCCCCAGCACCGAATGTTATGATTCTCCAAATATGCCAGGAGTGATCCCTGAATGCAGAGCGAGGAATAAGCCCTGATTCTAGCTGTATGCAGAATCTCTCCCACCCGGCTCCCCCCCCCCCCCCCCCCCCCCCAATGAGGTGAGAGCTTTGGTATTCTCTAACTCACAAAGTGAGTTAGAGAAAAATTGCAATTCAGAACATGGTCTATATTAACCTTGAGAAATTACTATGGAATATGGTTTTGAAGATGTTGTATGCCTATCTTTACCTCAAAATAGGTAAATTTGAAGATAATAAATTGAGCTTAGTTAAGATTGTATATTTTGTTGTTTTGTTTTGAGGCCACACTTGGCAGTACGTAGGGCTTCCGGCAATGCTCTGGAGACCATATGGTGTGCCAGGCATCAAACCCAGGTTGGCTGTGTGCAAGGCAAGTGCCTTTCTGTTTGTACTATATCTCCAGTCTCAGTTAAGACTTTTTTTCTTTCTCTTTTGCAAATACGGAATGCTTCACAAATTCGCGTGTCATGCTTGCGCAGGGGCCATGCTAATCTTCTCTGTAGCACTGTAGCCCTGTAGCACTGTCCTCCTGTTGTTCATTGATTTGCTCGAGTGGGCCCAGTAACGTCTCCATTGTGAGACTTGTTGTTACTGTTTTTGGTATATCAAATACGTCACGGGTAGCTTGCCAGGCTCTGCCTTGCAGGCAAGATACTCTCGGTAGCTTGCCGGGCTCTCCGAGAGGGGCAGAGGAATTGAACCCAGCTCAGCCGGGCTGGCTGCATGCAAGGCAAACGCCCTACTGCTGTGCTATCGCTCCAGCCAATCTTCTCTGTATCGTTCCAATTTTAGTATATGTACTGCTAAAGCAAGCACCCAGTTAATATTTTTTTTTCTTTTTGGGTCACACCCGGTGATGCACAGGGGTTACTCCTGGCTCTGCACTCAGGAATCACTCCTGGCGGTGCTCAGGGGACCATATGGGATGCTGGGAATTGAACCCAAGTCGGCCACGTGCAAGGCAAATGCCCTACCTGCTGTGCTATCACTCCAGCCCAAGTTAAGATTTTTTTTTAAGAAATTACCTTAGTTAAAAGAACTTACTTTGCTTTTGATACTAGTGATGACAGAAAAGGAGGTTTTTTTTTTTTTTTTTTTTAAATAGAAATCTGTTCTACCAGAGACAGAGATAGTTACAGAGGTTAAAGCAAATCCTGATTCAAGTCCTTACACCACAAATGGTCCCCTGAGTGTCATCAGAGATCACTTTTGTGCACAGTCAGCAGTTACCCCAGTTACCCCTGAATATGGACCAATATCCTTTCCTCCCAAATTCTACCCTAAATTCTGCATAAAGTGAAAACTGGTAGAACTGCAAGGAAAGATGTTAAAGCTTCCAGAGAAGCTAGAGATACCAATGTACTCCAGAGGACTGATGGAAACAGGTAAAAGGTAAAGGTAAAGGTAAAGGCCCTCCCGTTGATCGTCGATTTGCTCGAGCGGGCCCAGTAACGTCTCCATTGGAGACTTTGTTGTTACTGTGTCTGGCATATCGAATACTCTCGGTAGCTTGCCGGGCTCTCCGAGAGGGGCGGAGAAATCGAACTCGGGTCGGCCATGTTGGCCACTTGTAAGGCGAACGCCCTACCGCTGTGCTATCGCTCCAACAGCAGAGGAAAAAAAATCAGCAACACTAGTTGGAAATTTTGAACAACACTTTTTTTGTTTGCTTTTGGGTCTCACCTGGTGGTGCTCAAGTGTTGTTCCTGCCTCTTCACTTAGGAATCACTCCTGGGTGCTTGGTGGACCATATGGGATGCCAGGGATTGAACCCGGGCTGGCCGCATGCAAAGCAATCACCCTAACTGCTGTAGTACTACTGCAGCCCTTTGGACAATATAAACAAATCTCACCTAGTGGTTTTATAGGACTCTGTACCTAAACATTTGTGGGATATGTAAACAAAAGATATGGCGGTATCCTGGATTGTAAACCAGATATCAACATATTTCAGTGAACTAATTCAAGTTATCAAAGCCAGCTTGTATATTTTTGGGAGCTTGGGGGATATGCCTGGCAATGCTTAAAGCTTTCTGGTACTGTGCTCATGTGTGACCCCTGGTGGCTATATTCGGTTCTAGGGATCGGTTCTAGGGATCGACCTGAATCTGGCTGCCTGGCTACATGCAAGGCAAGCACCCTAACTCCTGTACTGTCTCTCCAGAGTACAGGAACCTGGGAAAAAATAATTGTTCGAGGGCTGGAGGGATGATATAGGAATTAAGGCTATTTCCCCTGCATGCAGCCATGAAACTTCATCCCCAGCACAACATAAGGGTCCTCAAGAACAACCAGATGTGGCCCAGAAACCAAGGGGAGAGGGTAAATAGCCACATTGTAGTCATACTTAATATTGGAAAGTTGCATGCTTTCTTTTTGAGGTTTGAGACGTAACAGGGACATCTGGTATTTTTATTATTTTGCTGGCTATCCTAAATAGAATAAGGTGATAAGCAGAAACATGTTGTATGAGATAAAAATTTTTTGTAGGTATAATCATGTACATAGGTATTAGTTAAATGTTTAACAACTTAGGGAGAATGCCAAATAAACAGTCATAAATTTATTTTTTATTTTGGGAGGCATATGCCCAGTGGTGCTCAGGGCCCACTCCCACTGCAGTATTTAGAGGATCATGTTTTGCTTGAGATCAAATCCAAGACTCTTGAACGTGAAGCATGTCTCTCCAACCCACTAAGCTATAGATTTAAAGCTTTATATGTCAACAACAGAAGTTAGAAAATTAACCTTACAAGGGCTGGAGCAGTAGAAATATGTGTCTGCTCCATAGAAATTCATCTCCACCTAGACCCAGGATATGAGAAACTTCCACAGAAAATAAAGAAATCAGGGGCCAGAGATATAGTACAGCAGCTAGGACATTTGCCTGCATGCAGCCGACCTGATTTTGATCCCCAGCACCCCCACATGGTCCCTTAAGCCTGCCAGGAGTGATTCCAGCTCCCAAAGCCAGCAGTAAACCCCAGCACCAGCACTGCTGGTGTACCACCCCCCCTTAAAAAAAAAACACGAAGCAAACAAAAAAATTTAAAAAGACCAAAAATTAAAACTGCAGACTATACAAGGAGACTATACCATACATGCAGACTATACGTTGAGAGAAGATTGGGAGAAGTCACAAATTATAAAAACATGTAAAGGTAGCAGAAATACTATTAATAATTGAAGACTTGAAATAAACTATAAAATAAGAATACCAGGGAGCTAATGCAGAGCACCAAGGCTTTTGTTACATAGTCTCTTGGACAGTGTCACAGTGTCACGGGTAATCTCAGAGCACTACCAGGTGTGGCTCAACATACCAAATAAGATAAAAACAAAACTGTTTTTTTTTTTTTAAAGCCGCAATAACAACCGAAGGACAAAATCTGTGCACCAGTTAAAAAAGGGATAGAGGGGCTGGAGTGATGTACCCAGCACTACACCTCACAATACTCAGTGATAGTACAGCGGGTAGGGTGTTTGTCTTGCACGTGGCCAACCCAAGTTGATTCCCAGCATCTCATATGGTCCCCTGAGCACCGCCAGGAGTAATTCCTGAATGCAGAGCCAGGAGCAGCCCCTGAGCATTGCCGGGTACGACCCAAAAAGCAAGCAAGCAAGCAAGCCTTTATGCATGCATGCATAAATAAATAAATAAATGGATGGATAGAAAACAAATTGGAAAAACATTTAAAGAAGTTGGGTTAGATGGGGAAGATTGGACCATACCCATGTCTTTACTCCTAGTTCTTTGTTCAGGGATTACTCCCTAGTGTGCTCAGGGAACTGTATTTGATGCCAGGGATCAAACCCAGGTAGACCAGGTGCAAGGCACGTGCCCTCCGCACTGTATTACCTCTCCGCCCCTGATTTTTTTTCTTTTTTTTTTAATTTTTATTAGTGAAACACCATGAGGTATGGTTGTAGACTTACAAATTTTTGTGCTTGGGTTTCAATTATACAATGATCAAATACCCATCCATGATTTTTTGTTTTCTGTGGAAGTTTCTCATCCTAAATTTAGGTGAGAATTCCTTTGGAGCAGGTCTATGTGTACCTTAGCTTGCACCTGGTTTATTCAAAAATCTGAAACTTTCATATGAACTGTTTTTGTTTGGTGGGTTTTGGGTTTTGTTTTGTTTTGTTTTGTTGGCAGGGGTGGGGGGCACACCTGGCAATACTCAGGGGTTACTCCTGGCTCTGCATTCAGGAGCTACTCCTAGCAGTACTGGAGGAACATACAGGATACTAGGTATAGAACTTAGGTCAGCTGCTTGCAAAGCAAATCCCGTACCCATTGTACTATTGTTCTGCCCCTGAACAGATTTTATACTTTTGTTTCTGTGGAGGGGGCAGGTTGAGCCATAGCCAGCTTACTCCTGAAATG